TTAGGAAACCTGTCACTAAAGGATGACCATGCTCTGAACTCCATTATCTGGGTGGGTGTGTTATAAAAACACATTTATTTATTTATGAATAAGCTTTTTAATGCATTTGGACATTTCTCTATCCAATATCATTGGCTTATTTGTCTGATGTTGGACAATTGGACGCTATCCAAAACATGACCTTAAGAATCCAGACCTGAACTTCATATTTGCATGTGATCCAGATAAGAAGGGTGGCTGAGCTGAAAGGAAAGACAAGAAGAGACGTGTTGATTCAACGTCATACTGTGAGGTAAAACTTCTGAAATGATAAACAAAGGTTACGATAGAAACATTTGTTTTCTATAAGCAGGTGATAGCTGTACTGGCTCTGAGCAGAGCACTGGCCTATATTCCTCTGTTCCAGTTTCAGTTTTATCGCTGTCATCTTGCTGTTTCCCAGACTAACAGAGTCAGATCCGAATCTGTGCAGTCATGTGTCTCCATTTGCGAGATTTTCACGCCCGAGCTGGTCTGAACCGAGGCCTTGTTTTACATATGTCATGCCAAAGGTTGTAGATGGGAAAAGGACATACCCTGGAACTTATATACAATCGTTAAATAGATGCTGATATCTCATACTGTGGGCCTTGTTTTTGTTTGTTTGTTTTGCACAATCATATTTTCGTGCACAGTTATCAATCGGACTAATGAGAATATGGCCTTGCGTGGTAATCTGTGATACTGTTGCAAGCCCGGATAAAATGTGACACAACAAAATCTTTTGCAATGTTCTATTTTCTATTGCAAAAGACAAAGACAGAGCAGCTTCCTGCTCTGTCTTTGTCTTTTCCTTTATTACTAACCTGGGCAGGTTGCCAAAGTGGCCTTTTTTTCTCTGTTAGCCCAGACTCTCAGTTTGGTAGTTTAAGCTTTTACAAAACATCGTCACATTCATGTTTTATCATCAATGCTTGCATGTGACAACTGATGTGATACACTTAAACTGATTACGTATGTCTGGACGCTCGTTTTTTGTGACCAGTTTGAGCCAAATTGATAACATATTTGCACATACAAGGACGGCTGCAGACACCAGATGTCATGGCTGTGTGCAGGCAGGCAGGGAGAGAGGACCCAAAATGCAGGACTCACAGAGGCAAACGTAACTCAAAACAGCCAGCTTTATTGCTGGAAGGCAACTGAACTGAAAACTAACTAAACTGAGAATGCAAAAACAAACGAAACACACAGTGAACGTGAAGGTACAACAGGACACTGACACAGAGAAACACGGGGCTGAAATACACTGAGGCGTAATCAGGGAATGAGAAACAGGAGGGAGACACAGCTGGGAGAGATTAGGGATAACCAGACAGGGGGACGTAAAACAGAATGCACTCACAAGAGACATGGGCCTTCACAATAAAACAGGAAACATGAAACTAAACGACTTGACCAAAGCTATAGTAAACACGAGGTTACAAGAACAAAACCCTTAACTGAAACAAAGACTAAGAATAATAATAATCAATCAAACAAGAGATTAAGAATATAACCCATAATAAAAAACAAACATAAAAAACTCAAAATGCCGGGTCAAAATGACCCAGAACAGTGACACCAGAGGAGACAAAACTTTGGCAACAAAGGCTAATCCCTGACAGTCCAAAACATGAAAAGTAAAAGTCCAAAGAGGCGAAATGAGGGAAAAACTGAAAGAATAAACCGAGACTGAACAGACATCACGAGAAGGGTAATGTCTGATTGAGTTACAAAATAATGAGGGCAGGAGAAAGGAAATGAGGAAAGCAGAAAACACAGACAACCACATAAGGAACCTCCAAAGTAAGTCAGTAAGTACACATTGACTAAGTGTACACAAGAAATGGGCGGGTGAGTTTCCAAACACTCCTCCAGTGTCTTCTTAGCCCTGAGGCCTGAAACTGCAACACAAAAAAAGACACTTCTGACCCGGACATTTATACAGCTTTGAATGTTAAAGTGCAGGCAACTCTATTTCACATTGTATCACAAGACTTCATGGTATCTGCTTGACCAAAGGCATGAAACCTAGTAAGGGTTTATGGCTATTCATAGTTTGACTGTAAGTCAGTGACAGCCAAGCAAACTGACACATTCGTTCACGGCCC